TGTGAGTATTTTTTTCAACATGGAACGCATTATCGTATTTAACATTAATTTATATGAGAAAAATTGCTCGCATAACGAGTGTTTCGCTTAACGAGTATGATTCTGGAACGAATTATGCTCGTTAAGCGAGGTTCAACTGTACCGGTCACTGAATGACCTCAGACACGAAAATACACGATGCAGAGATGGTGGCAATGGACCCAGCGATTGTCTAGAAGACGTGATGTGAACGACTTTCTCCAAAGGACCTGCTATGCGATTAGGATTTCTCTTAGACGTCTAAAGTTTCATATTTTGTTGAAACTTTTTAAAGCTAATGTTGTCTTGCCAGTATTTATTATAATTTCTTTATCTGAATTACCTAATCACAACTGCTACCAAATATGTTAACCGATCTGTTACTTTAAGCTCTTTTTTCGTGTCCAACGTGGCATTTGCTTGATCTGTCATTGATGTCTTCAATATATTTTAGGCTGGGTCGTTCTGGGAATAATAAATCAAACTATGACAGCAATGACAGCTGGTATCGGTGGCCTTGGACTAATTATGTGGATATGATTAACCAATGATTTACAAACATGTCTGCCACTGCTGGGAACACTTGCAACGTTCGTTGTGTCGTTTGCAGTGTAATCCTTCAAATCAAACACGGTAAAATGTTTCTAAGAACATTTTACATACTTCTGCCATAAAGATAAGAACAATAAGAGAAATGTCGGTATTTTCTTATTAGTCGACCACAAACAGGGGAAATCCTCAGGTCATGGGACAGTCAACTATTTTAGGGGATTGTAGATTGAGCAATTAGTGTTGGTTAGGGTTTTGGTTAGGGTTAGGTAAAAGCTCGAAAAACCTGGTCTTTGAAGAAACGCGCTAAAGCACAGAAAACACGGAAACCCCGCTCTTACCACCCTCTAAAAAATTGGACTGTCCCGTAACGACATTTGTGGTCGACTAAAAAGAAAACATCGAAATGTCTAGACGTCAAAACTTAGAAAGAAGATATCGTTATACTGGGAACTTCCTGAGAATAAGCGGGCAGAGATTTAACAAATAGGAACCGAAACGGGACTCACGAAAAAGAGGAGGTGCACGTGACTCTAAACCAAAAGCGACCAGAGAGGCCAAAGGAGCGGGACATGACACCACTGATGATATCGAAATAAATGCGGGGGACAGAAGGGAAGAACGGATTGCCAGCCATAGTTTACATGTCAGGTTGATTTTATTATCACTGCAATGACAATACAGAAAAACGGCAAACAAAAATGCTAACAAACTCTGCAGTCCGTAGACTTCGAATATTATTTCTATATTCAACCAATGCCCGGCTCTCTAGCGGAATTGGCTAAACCGGATTTCGCGGAGATCGGGTGACGTACTCCTTGTGGTCCGGGTTCAATCCCGGGAGTAGGCAGGAAAGCCACATTTTCTCCCAGATTTACGGTATTTACAATGGAATCAAGGCCGAAAGGTTGCGATATCCATAATACCGAGCCTAAGGGTTAACAACTCATGGCTTCTGGATACTAAAACAAACAAACAATATTCAACCAATGTTTTAAAATGTATGCCTAAACAACATTTTACAACATTTTAAAACGACCATTGTATTAAATTAGATATTTCAAATCGTCTTTTTTTTTTTAAATTGTGTAAGCCAGGGACTAATTATCCCAACACACTGTTGGCACCCACGTGTTAGTTCTTGGTGCAGAGTGTGTTTAGCCCGTGCTATAATTACTGTGATTAGTGAGGATTATCATTACAGCACTCCGGACAGATCTATAGGTGCTCCTATTTCCTCCCCAAACGCTCGTTCCATAAGTTGAAGACTCATGTTCCAGGCTGAATAATCACATGTTTCCTTGATGAAATGTTTATTTCTTGCAGCTCCGTGTTCTTCTGCCTAGACGGATACGGAGTCATACCCATTGCTGTATTCGTCTTCACGGCAAGTGCTGTGCATGACACTGATAACATCTTGTCCGTCCAGGACCGGAACCGTCACAACAACCACAGTGTCTGCAAGATAATCTGCACGCTCACTGCCTCGGGTACCCTCACTGCCCGGCACAAACTATGAAGGTTAGGTCGGAAATTTGCGAAGTGTTCAGTGATACAATCCATTCTGGTTTGACGAACCCAGTCTGGATTTTCTTTAACATATTCACTGAATTTTAAGTATAGTAACAAGAAAAATAAAGGTTTTTTTTTTTTAAACTAAAGGCACTTTTCACGCCATGGGTTTATATGGCATAAGATGCAAGACACATTTTAAGGACCAATCCTGCAATGGGTTATTGTTGTAATCTTATTGGCCAAGAGTTAGTTTCTTCTAGTGGTCACAGGACAGGTGAAAAGTTCACACAGCGGCCACGGTCGGGTCGTTACGAGCTAATTGAAATCTGGGCGATTAACACAAAGGCTCCTGCAGAACACAAAGGATTCTGCAGTCAAGATATTTCCCTTGTCCAAGTAGGACGTTCCCTCTTTGTGAGGTTTGGATTAACCGTTGCTTACGGGAGACAGTTTAATGTCTATTTATTTCTTATAATGGCAGGAGTCCATTGAGAAAGATTGTATATCATAAGAGTAGATAATGGAGATTTATTATCGTACATGTTTTATTGAATAATCATCATCATCTTGTGACGTGTAACTTTAAAGCCATTAAAGTTTATGTGGCCTGTCACAAGCGTTATTGTTGACTTGTAAAGATAACAACTGTATTACATGATGCTGTGCCAAGTGTGCCAGTTATAGTATGAAGGACTTCACTGTAGCACATCCATCAAGGAGATATCCAGCGGAATGTTGAATAGGCACCCTAGACTAAATACTTGGTTGGATATAAAGTGTACAACAAAGTGTACAACAGTTATGCAGCCAACTTTACGCCGACAGTCTTTACTTCAAAGGAGAGTTCCTAGTAACATTTGAGACTAGATCTACATAAATACATTATAAACTTCTACTTAGTTGCGGATCTGACCCCAGAACCTTCGGGTCGGCAGGCTATCACTGGCTACGCCGCTCGTGGCTTCGATCACCAACAGCAATTTTTAAAAAGTCAGGATTAAAGCTCATGCGTTTTTAGTTCTTGCCGCATGTAATATTTGCTTAACGCCCGCTATAACGACCAAAATAAATGCCTCAGCCAAATACAGGCGCGCTTCCACTAGAAATTATGCTGACGGGGCTTCCAGAAAATATTGCAAGGATTGCTGTTTTTTTTTTTTATCTCAAGCACCCTTTTGTTTCGAGACTGTGTCAGTGTTTATTTGTCAATATTCTCTCTCTCTCTCTCTCTATATATATATATATATATATATATATATATATATATATATATATATATATATATCACACACACACACACAAAGACAGAAACACACGCGCGGACATACAATCACTCCAAAATAAATACATTTTAAACCTGAAAGCCCGAGGCCCACAAATGCGTGGGTGGTAACATCTGAAAATCTTTTACAGAATTACAACTTGAGAGATGCTTTTATAAACATTACCCTGTGGAAGAGTGGGAAGCTGCTGTTGAAAATAATCATGTGGGTTATTTCATTGTATTCTAAATGGTTTTCTTGTGAGCCAAATGATGTTCAGAGATTTGCGCCACCGTGTGTGTGGGGACGGGAAGGGGTGGAGAAGGAGAGAATCAGACCGTCAGAAAAAGAGACGCAAACAGAGGGGGACAGATAGAGGGGGGATTGAGACAAGACACATGGAGAGAAATTAAAAGAGAACGACAGCGAGGGGGTAGAGAGAGAGAAAGAGAGAGAGAGAGAGAGAGACCGACAGACAGATGCAGACCGATAGAAAAGAAGACGCGAACAGAGGGGAGAGATAGAGAGGGGCAGAGAGATAGACACATGGAAAGAGGCGAAAAGAGAAAGGCCGAGACAGAATGAGAGAGAGAGAGAGAGAGAGAGAGAGAGAGAGAGAGAGAGAGAGAGAGAGAGAGAGAGAGAGAGAGAGAGAAATGGAGGGAGATCGAGACAGGCAAGGAGAGACATAGCTAAATGTTAACATTAAAATCTGACGAGTAATAAGCTAAACAAAACATGCATTGATGACCGTTGCTGTGTACGGATGCTGATAGAGATAACCTGGTGATTCGGGATAATTTCCCTGTTTACTACGTGAGTATGCATGTCTGACCACTTTAATACATGTATACGGGCGCCGGCTCGGACAGGTAAACGCTAGAACAGCGGTTCTGAACATGTGTGGAGTTGTGCATTGTTCCCACAGCATAGCGTTGGCACAAAAAGCTGGATTTATCAGGCAAGAATGGATTGAAACACTGAGTACTTCACGAATATCTGCCCTAACCTTCATCTTTGTGCCAGGTAATGCGGGTGTTCAAGGGAACGAGCATGCAGACTATCTTGCTGACACTGCAATTGCTATGGCTGGCCCAGTAGTGGACAGAAGAGATGTTAGCAATGCCATATGCCGCACTTACCGTACCGAGGAGAACGCCAAAGGACATGATTCCATATCCCTGTCTAGACTGATGGACATCGTGGTGCAGCCTAGAGCTGCAAGAAATAAACATTTCACTAAGAGGACAAGACGTTTCATTAACCAACACAGAACAGGCGTCATCAGTCGTTTTACACTTGTTGAGCTTTTCAGGGGGAGATCGGAGCACCTATAGATCTGTCCGGAGTGCTGTGCTGATAATCTTTTCTAATCACTAATCACTGCTGGCAGGCAGGGACGCTGAGTATGTGTGTGTGGTTTTTATTTCCTACTTATTTAGTTGTGCACACTACTAGCTTATCTTAGCTATATTTGTTTTCCTTGCCTCTTTAATATATACAATGATCATGTTTTACATTAGTCTGAGAGTGAAAACAGATAATTCAACAACCCTCATAAACAAAACATTAACAGAAATAAAAACAAGCACAAATGCAAATTATATTACAGCACTGCTGTTCGAAAACAATCAAACGGGACCACAATGAACTCACCCTTTCGTTTCCATGGCAATATTTGTGACCAAACGAAAGATCCGGATATAATTTATGGCTAACGAGTACAATCCAAACGGCAGGCCAAAAGTCGTGAATATTTTTGTCTTGAAGTGTCAATTAATCCACTAGCAATTCGGGCAATCAAAATCCTCGAGGTGCGATAAGCTAAAATGTGCACACGTAGAAACAAACGGTAAGTGTTGGCTGCAGATGAAAGCGGCGATTGTTAGTGGGTCTAACAATGGAAGACAATACATTACACTGCGGCTATTCTTGTGCACGAGTATATGTACTTAACACACTTGCCTCTTAAAAGGGGGTCTCTTCACGTCGATGGGACACTTCACTTGAAGAGGTTACGATATTTACTGGCGTTGGCAATTACTCTCCGTATGCCCATAATCACCGCTAGAATTAACGTCAGCCGTGGTAGTCCAGTGGCCGGTCTGAAGGTTTTGGATTCAAATCCGGATTTTTTTGTAAATAACTGACGTTGACCACTAAATTGATCCAGCCTGAAGTGGATACCAGAAAATTTTATGGGACGTCAATGCGGATGGTGGATACTGACCATCCCATCCAGTGAGTGCACTCTGGTCTATACAATTTATGTATGGGTCAGGCATCATTTGCCTGATACTTCAGTGACGTGCACGTGGGTTTAGCACCAGTGTGTAGATTATTATTAAACAGCAACTGCGATAGTTGCAGCAGAACAAGATTACAACAAGAGGGTGCCGCGCAAAGAGCTTACGAACTTAGGCACAAGGAAATTAAGTAAAATGTCGTCTTAACCACTTCTTTCTCCCACGCTGAATTCAGAAAACCAGAAATACAATAAAAGGTAAAGTCGGGAGATGTGAACCAGCGTCATTGCACACGGTTATAAACTATAAGTGCTCTGCCACCAGTGCGGACAGTTGAGAAACTGTCCGCCTGCGTCGCCGTCTGCACGTCCCTCCGTAGTTACTGCGACGTCCCTCCTTCACCCCAGAGTTAACACTCTGGTACACATTTCCTAGAGGCTGGGTGAACCCCGGGAACCGCCCGGTTTCGAACACCGACCGTGGCTGCAGCGAGTCGCAGCTGCAGCTGGATTTGAAAGCGAGCCTCCTATCGACTGCGCTAACGCGGCTTTCGACCAGAAATATAATATACCGCTTAAAATGAAACTCGACCAGACGTCTCTCAGTTAACATCGGTGATAGATAAAATGAGGATGAGACTTAAAGCACTCAGTCATCACACCGTTAGCTTATTGTCGACGATGAACTTACGAATCCCACAATAAGAACGTACGGGTACAATCATAACTAAGTGTCAACATTTCAAAGTGAGCTTCTAAGAAAACAAAACTGCACTTAAAATCATTCAATGTTTTCAAGTGGCATTAGTTGTACGGTTTACCACAAGCAGTACTTGACCTGATTACGACAACAAATGGTAGATACGTTAAACAAGTAAAAAAGTGAGGCGAAGTAGTTAAGTAATTTGCCTCCAGCTCTAATTTTTCTTTTTTCAATGTTTGTTTTTTTGTAAACCCTTTGGCTTTGTACTATAGATATCGCAACCCATTCGGCCTTGATTCCATGATAGATACCGTAAATCTGGGCAATATGAGGCTGTTCTGCCTCCCCTCGGGAGTGAACTCGGACCACAAGGAGTTTGACCACCAGTCGCCGCAAGGCTGGTTTAGCCAATCCAGCTAGCGCACCGGGCGTAAATCCTTTACAAGTAGTCGAAGAACGGGAGGGCAAAGAAAAAGCTGTAATTTACACACACCATCACCATAAAGGGACAAGACTTCATTACTATACACTTGTTCATCAAGCTTAAGAAAGATGGCGGGTTTTATGTGCCAGTGCTTCCGTCGATATGCCCTAACGAGTCCAGGGTTATGTTATGTTTAAATGGCACGTTGTAGTTTACAGCTAGGCTGCGATTTCTGCGTCTTTCGGCCAAGGGCCCTTTATTTCAGCAAAACGTATAATTAGTCGCATTTCAAAGCATGTTTGTTAGGCAGTGGTCAATTCATTAATGTTATTGTTTCCTGCAGATAGCTGAGTCCTGGTAACAACTCGGGGATTCCTTGCAGGTTCTATTTCTGAAACCATCTTTGGTTTGCAAGTGCAAATACCTGGGAGCTCAACCAAAGGTCGTAGTCTAAATTCACCTGTTTGTGTTAGCATATATTCTGGCTGTCTGCACATCATCATCTCCGATCTTTTCTGGTGAGCTTATTTCCGATTCTATTACTGGCACGTGGTGTTGACTGGGGTGGTTCCGGAGACTCTCTGCTGAGGATCTGTTCACGTTTCCCAGTCCATCTACACACTTTCTCAGTCTGATCTAGGTCATAGGGTGTCACTTTGTACTGCTTTCTTCGAAAAGTCTCTCTCGTGTGACCTAGGCTCGGGCTGTGAGGTGGGGGAGGGGGGAGGCAGTTATATATGTTCTTGGGTAGCTGAAAGCTGGTCGCCATGAAGTATAGAACACGCGACATCGGCGCTGATGTAACCGGAGGCAAGAAAACCTGACAGCCCTCTGACGTAGAAGAGTCTAAGAAAGTATGAATGAGCGGGGAAACGTGAACTGGACCTCACCTGCTTTGAATAACTAATAACTGGTCATTCTGCACATAATTCCGAAATGCCACCATCTTCTTCGCTCTCAGTTTCTTTACATATGCTCTCACTGTTCGCCGTCGGTCAGTTGAAAATATGGACTGAACTGGATACCAGAAAGATATGTACAATGTCGTATGGTGTTAGGTTTTCGCCCATCTGACAAAGGCGACCGACCATAAGCGAAGCAAACAGTAGTAACTGTAACCTAGTACATATTTTGGGCTGTGTTGGTCTGACAGCCCGAGTCATTATAACAATGTGTGGATTTGAACCCGAAAACCGCCGGGTAAAGTGTCCAGTCACTGTGCCAGAGCGGCTCCCGCACTGGTGCTGAATTCACACGAAATTGTAGGTCCTTGCCTGCAGAGGTCTGCAGGTTAAACAGGGCTGGTGTAGTCGTTACTGGCACCCTAATTATAACTTCTACAGGTTTTACCCCGGTGTCCTCCGCGTGTGGGTTCCGGGGCCTCATCGCAGGGGAAAACAAGTCAGCATACAAATAAGCTAGAACTGTAAAACCGATGTGCAAGCAATACTCAGGTTCTGGAAAAAGACTAAAGTCCAGAGGTGGACGAACACCCAGAACTTTCCACCAGAATGCAAAGCCGGTGAACAAAAAAAAAGAAGAGGAGGAGGAGGAAGAAGAAGACGACGAACGGGGTATCTGCGATCTGCATTATAAGTCTGCCATCCAGTTTCTTTTAAAGACGAAGTCAGCAGTATACGCATTTGCCAGTTGTAAATCCACAGACATACAAGCTCTGTGTCAGTTGTATGGCCATCTTTAAAACTGCCTACAGTATTAAAGAAACATGCTGCGTGCTCGGTAATTTATTTCACGGCTGTCAAGTAATCTTAGTTCAAGTGTCCTTTTAAAGGTGTTTACGAACTAGGGCGTAATTGCGAGACAGACAGAGAAGGGTGCCAAACAAGCAGTAAGAGAGTCAGACAGAAGCAAAAGAGAGTCAGAGAAGGGGAAGAAACCCACAGAGAGAGAGAGAAAGAAAGGGAGGGAGGGATAGAGAGAGAGTTTGAGTGTGTGTGTGTGTGTGTGCGCGCGCGCGCCCATTTCACGTGTTCATGTATATAACTGAGGGTTTCTTTCTGCGGCCTTTTGTTCTTTCTAACATGTGTAACCAAGATTCGTCAGATTCAAGTGCAAAACACAGGTTCGGAGGAAACTGTACTCTTAGTCTACAGGCTGCAAGATATCTGTAGTTGTTCATAAACCCTAACAACTGAAGGCCATATCCGAAATCTCAGATGTGAACACGCCACATTCTTGAAGTATTTACGGCATTTGCAAGTCCAATTAAAACCTGTACTTATTTTCAACAATTGTACTTTTGCGAAGAATTATTAACTGCTTGACGAATGATCTGGGAGCATGTGTGTTACTAACAACACTTGGCGTTGTATAAGATACACACAGAGAAAATCAAATAATAATCTAATTAGAATGTTCTTGCAGAGGAATCCACAAGGTTAACGGAATAAAGTAAAAGACCCTTTTCCCCGCATTTAGGCGTATTGGGTAAGTGGGTTGAATCTGTATTATACAGAACAATCGAAACTGTGATGTGGTCAGCATCAGACCGGCCGCTTTTGCATCTCGTGACAACTTTACTCGCTACCCATTTTAGACTGGGTCGACCTGGGAGCCTAGACCATTTTTTTAAATGTCCGACCCCGCCAGGGCCTGAACCCGCGACCTTTGGATCCGCATGCAAGCATCTAGCTGCTACACCACGGCGGCTTTACGGAATAAAGGCGGACTAAACACACGGAGAAGGAAATCAAAGAGTGCGCTAAAACGGACTGTAAGAGTTACAAGTGACAGCAAATGACGGGTTGACTTCTCGTGAGTTCGTTATAGGACATCGGACATTTGTATAGACTAACTGGCATTATGTGGGTGATATGACCAACCTCCTGACGACGGCCTTCACAGAACAGGACTTAACTTGCTAGAACGGCCCGGGAGCCAGTGTCATTTTTTTTAAATCCAACTCGATGCGGATTCGAACCCATAAAATTTCTGGGCCGGTAGGAAAAGAAAAAGAAAAACATGGAGAATGGAGTTCGAGAGTGAAGATAAAAAGATGGGGTGAGCTGCATGCAATAGCGAAGGAAAGAACGACTTGACGTGAGGGAGTTGAGGGTCTATGCTCCACTGGAGGTTAGAATGGCAGAAGATGAAGAAGAAGAAGATGAAGAAGAAGATGAAGAAGAAGAAGAAGAAGAAGAGGAGGAGTAGGGAGAAGAAGATGAAAAAGAAGAAGCGTCTAGCCGCTAAGCTGCCGCGGCTCCCACATCCCTCAGGGCTCGCAATCTCCTCCGCCCCTCCCCTACCCCTTTTTGTTCCCCTCGATCTATCACGTGCA